GAAACAAACATCTAAACATAACATCTCTACACCATTTATATTTGTACTCCAAGGACTTTTAAGGTTGCTTCTCAATTGTCCTACTGGGGAGTTCCTGGGAACTCCCCCCTGTCAGCTTTCACCCAACTGTCTTCTCTCCGAAACAACCGCTGTGGTGTCTGCAAACATGTTTTGTGCAGTGGGTATAAGTCAAAAGCGATAAAATGAATAATCTACAGCATACCCAAGAAGGTCATCGGACCCCTCCAAACCCACCCCGCACCCCTCCAAACCTCCATCTCAGGTATGCGTTGTTTGCTTGATCTGCCACAGCCCTCGGCTCTCGTCTCACCCAGCCTTAATGGATCCAGCAAAGGCCACAGTGACCTCTCTTTGGCGCTCGAGGAGGTTCTCCTGACTGCCCAACCAGTGAGAACAAACCCCGGGCCGCAGCTCCGCCGGAAACCGGTGCGCTTTCCATGACGAGGACACCATGTCAGCGGAGCGTTTTGGCCGCTTTGGAGCATCCCAAGTTGGAGCATCCCGCCATCCAACCAGTTTGGCCTTGTAGTGGCTTCAGGTAGATGGCAAAGACCCGAGGAGGTGGTGAAAACAGGGACCCTCATCTAAATAGACACCTTGGGGTCTGTGCCATGCACTCTGAAGCCACTGTAAGGGAAAGACAACAAAAAACAACTTAACTACTTTACTTCGAGGGATCCCCACCATTGCATTTCAATAGTTTATTTTCATGCCATGGTGAGGAGCATGTTGCCATGGTCGTGGGTTTGTGGTGTTCGATTTTGCTTGTGGGTCCTCGGTCCTCGGGTTTGGGGTTGCAATTTTAATGTGAGAGAGTTCACGTCAGGGTGTCGCCAGGGTCTCCAGTTGGCATCCAAAAGTGCTCACCTGCCACGCAAAATGACTTACACACAGGCAAGTGTTGTGGTTGTATTTGTGTGGTTGTGTCTTGTCGTGGTTGTGTGTTGTGTTTGTGTGTTTGTGGTTGTGCTTGTGCTTGTGTTTGTGTCTTGTGGTTGTGTGTGCGTGTGGCTGTGTTTGTGGTTCTGGCTGTGTTTGTGGTTGTGGCTGTGTTTGTGGTTGTGTGTTTGTGGTTGTGTGTTTGTCATTGTGTGTTTGTCATTGTGTGTTTGTCGCTGCGTTTGTGATTGTGCTGGTGGTTGTGTGTTTGTGATAGTGCATTGTGTGTTTGCGGTTATGTTGTGTGTTGAGATCCCGTAGTGCCCACTGCGATCATGCCCGTGCAGTTACGGTGTAGCCCACTGCGATCTGAAGCTGGCATGGAGATCATGGAGTCATGGAGGAGAGGAGAGGAGACGGGGAGGAGAGGAGAGGAGAGGAGAGGAGAGGAGAGGAGAGGAGAGGAGCTCTGATAAAATCTAACAACTCTCACCTGGCAGGTGGGGTTGTTACTTGGAGTCTACAACCACCGACCTGGTGCATTGCGAATTTGCACCTGCATGGTGGACATTGCCCAGCGCTGATATTCGGCGAATCACCCTCGCCTCGAATCACCGTCGCTGGAAAAAGGACGCTATAAGTGAGTGGTTGGGGATGCGCAGATTGCAGCGGTTCCCTGAAAGACTGAGCTGCTCATCTAGGAGGAAGCAAGGACGGGCCGAAAACGGCCCAATCTGTTCTTCTTCGAACTTCCAGATCTTGAACCAAAGACCATGTTCGACACAAAGAGAATCAACTGACGCCCAAGTTCGGAAGCTTGGCACCAAAAACGCCTGATGCACCTAAGCTTGGTACTAGCTGCGCTTCTTCATTTATGGATTCCCCAGCTTTGTGATGGGCCCTATTACATCCGGAGACTGCCCTTCACCACCGCAGACTGCCCGTATGGCCATTTTGATCTTCACCCAGGGGATTCACCTGATCCACAAAACCCGGAGACCAGGCTCCGGTCCTTTAGACGACAGTCCCAACGTGCGAAGTAGGGCACCGTGACCATGCGGAGCAAGGAGTACAACCTGCAGGGCAGTGGCAAGCAGGGCAGGATGGTATGGGATAAGTGAGTGTTGGGAGCACCAAAAGAGGTCAGACTCCGAGGACAACAACTGATGGACCAGGTGAAACCACCATGTTCTCAGATGGACCTTGTTTTTAGGGATCCTCAATCTTGATCTGTATGTACAGTACAATATAGTACAACATATACATGCAAATCAAACTTCTGGCTTGGGGCCCTGAGAACCTGACACAAGTAATCTTTGAAGCTCCTGGTGCAATTCTTTTGTTGTACAAATTGCCATCTGCAGAATCTGCAGCCAGTCAAAACTTCAACAAGACCTGGGTCAGAGGATCTTGACAAGATAGATCATGGGCCCTCCACAGAGCCCAAGCTGCCTTCGGTCCAATATACTGTAGAAGGGGCCTTCGCTAGATTCGGTAAAACACATCTGTAGAAGGGGTCTTGATTGACCACACACATACTCTTTTTAGATATATTATACACACATACACACAAACACAAACACACACACACACACCAAATCTATCATGTTGCAACTTCCCAACTCGAACTTTGCTCTACCAACGAACAGCTTTCATCCCAATCGAACAGCTTTCGAGTTGGAAGTCCCACCCGTTGGAACGCCCTGGCTCGCCCCATCAACGCGCGGTGGCGCGCGGAGCGCCCATCAGCGCGCCCGGCGTTCAGTGCCGCAGAACGGCGGCCCTGGCTCCAGAAGCCCACCTGGGGAGTGAGCAGATCCCGAGCCATGGATGGGTTCGCTTGAATGTACGCCTATAGGGATCCACTGCCACCTTCTCAGGTGATTGGAGGCACTGTCATGTAGGTGCCAGGAGGGTCCAGTCGTACCGAACCTGAGGTTCGGTGGTATTCGACCCCGGCACCCACCCGGCCCTGTCCCATCTTCGAAACGGAGGTAGGCCAGGAGCCCGGAATCACAATCATTTGGATGGACATCAACCTCATCGTCTGTTTTTGTGTTTGGTTTGTTTTCGAGATCTACATTTTTCCTGAATCGGCTTGTTAACCGTCTGACGGGGTGGAGCCTCGGAAGGTGAACAGGTGTAAGAACAGGTGAGCCTGACGTACTGAACAGGTGAGGTTTAAGATGGTTTAAAGTATATATAGGATATTCTAGGATGTAGTAGGTTCTTCCTGAGCAGCCCTCTGGTTCATGCAGGTCGTGATTTGATGTCAACAAAAAACAGTTATAAGTACTACAAGCCTTATCCCTACAAAGCTCCTGTCCATCTTCAGGTCGGTCGACCCACAACCACCCACTCACCGCAACCACCTTCACCGGCAACGGAGGTCGGCCAGGTTGCGGCCAATTCTGGGAAAGACACACTTGTGAGGTTGTTACTCCCACCCCACTCAACCCTCCCACCGGCACTGGGCCGTTGGAACCCGAAACACCCGGCGGTTCTCTCAGAGCGAACACCCATCATCTCACATCATCTCGCTGCTGGTTTGGGCGCCCAAAAGCAAACACATCGTCACATGATATGGGTGACCGAGACCAAACAGGGAGACCGAGAGCTGTCAGGCAACGACCCCCTCGAAGAAAAAAGATAGACCTATTTAAATACACATCAACATCGTTGACCATCGAAGTTGCCAGAGGGGTCTACATGTCTAGTTGCTGCACTGAGTGTAGCTGCAAGTTTGGAGGAAAAAGCCGTCGGAAAGCCTTTCTGGAAGTCAAGAAGTATCAATGAATCAAACAACCGGTTGGGAATTCACGGGCATGCTTGTTCGGGCCTCCCCCACCGGGCCGCTGAGGTAAAAGTAGGGAGGCTGTCAAAACTGATGGCTCTCGCTGCAAAACAGTTCACGCCTATCCCAGCGTACCGGAACTAGCTATGGGCCATTGACATTACATACCTCTTTGCACACTCTGCATACATTGAGGAAACCCGCTGGTGTGGGTGAAACATAACTCACAAACTCAAACATTCAGAGGGCGCTTCTGAGCACTAATGTTTATTCAAACACAATGGGCACGTGATAAGCTGGTTGTCTTGCCAAACAATTATATATAGCCACGCAAAAGTTCTGGTTCAGCTCAGGCACTGTGATCACGATGGCATTGCCCAGGAAAGGGGAGTAGCTATCCAAGACCAAGTGACTGCGCGTGCGGGGGCATTCGGGGCTTTCTCTCCATGTGCGGGTAGTAAGATCAGGTGTCTGCTAGGTCCAAAGACGCGACGGAAGGATTCGGAGAGGATGCTTCAAAACCTCTAGAGCTGCGCCATCTTCCAATCAATCCGTGGGCAAACAACTAACAATCACTCCGCTCTCAAAGCATCAGCCAAAATAATGATTGTCAAACCAAGTTAAGTGAACCCTGCGGCAGTCCCCCCCCCTCATTGGGCAGCACCTGTGTCCACAGCTTTTCCGTGGGTGCGTAAGTTGGGCTTCCCCAATCCTTGTGTTGGGCCGCCGGTTGAACCTCTGCGCGCATCAGGATGGTGCGCTGGGCCGCCTCGGTGTGGGCCACCCATATTATCCCTTATTAAGATATGTGATTCCTTTTGTATCTGGACCATGAAGACTTGGTACACTCTAATCCCCCAAACCCACCGGTGGTCAAATAGCTCGACTTTGACTTGAAAGTAACTTTGAAGCCCTCCCATACGCAAAACGTGTTTTTGACGACCATGAGAACCATGCAACAAGAATCGACTCATCAATTAGTAAAGTATGTGTCAAACTAAGCGAATCGGGGGTGGGGGTGCATTCTCTGCAGATAGGCAAAGTGTGGATGCAAACCAGTCCTGTTTGATCAGCTGTATAACTAGCGAATACTAGCGATATATAACATGGGTAGGACCTTTTAAGACAGAAATCCCTTTAGAAATCCTTAGAAGGCGTCTCTTGATGCGTCATGCAAGAACCAGGACCAAAGCTGAGTCCAGCGCAATGTCTTCTCTCGTTTCGTCAGGTTACCCAGAAGTTGGTCAGAACGCCGATGGCGATGTGACGAGCTCACAGCCGCTCCCGCTCCCGCTCTGTTTTACACTCAGCCGGTGCTCAGCCGCGTCTGTAGCACGCTGAAGTCACGGCTGCATACAGGAAGGTTCCTGTAGTCGCAAACAGGGCAAAGACCCATGCAGAATCCCTAAAAATATGTCGTTGCAGTAGGTCAATGATGTCATGTTCAGACGATCTCGTTTTTCTTTGAGGGGGTCTTTCTGGGGCGGCATCGCTCGTCGTCATGGTCGGTCGTCCCAGTCATGGTCCCCTAAGCACCCCAGTTGCGGCCAGGAAAAAAACACGGATAGGGTGAAAGTTTCAACGCGGAAGGACATGATGCCAGAAAAAAGCACCGCAATAATCGGATGGAAAACATAAGTGAAATCCTCAATCTTCGTGGCATCTATAGATTTGTAAGAAAACTCCTGGCACCTTGATCAACCAAGCCATCGATCGATCTGAGTTCCACGTTCGCTGGCTGCTTCTCTCCAAATACCTCAACCTTTATGGCCCAGCTTCGACCTCGCGCTATCAGTCGCGCTGAGTAGGGCTTTGTAGTGCGCCCAGCGGTGTGCGCTACCCTTACACAACAGCAGTGGGACCAACGGATCACCTCAGTGCTTCCGCCAGGTGCGTGTTGGGAGCAATGGCAGAATACTGAAGGGGAAGTGGGTGGGTGTTTTTTGGAAGAAGAGCTTGAAGAGGTTGGAGGTTTCGACATGGCATCTCCAAAAAAAGACTTTTATCATGCATGTTTCACAGCAAACATCGCTGGCCGCCACTTGTTCATGCCCCAAACACTCCATGGGACGGCCACTTTGGGCCGATCATGTGGGTTAGTTGATGTTAGTTGGTCTGGTCTGCGCAGCCTTTGGACACCCGTTCCAATCCCAAGCAGTTCCTGTGAACGAGTGTCCAAAGAAACCCACCTGCTGAAACCTTCTCCAAAGATTCACGGGCGTTCTCATCGCGGAGCGGTTTCACCGCCCGAGCGAAGCCGAAGCGCTTCGGTTGGGGGCTCCGTCTCTCCTCTTCTCCCGGCCTGGGCGTGCGCGAAGAAGCTCGTCTCGCCATCTGCTGGTCTCGTAGGGCTCGGGTAAGCCCTGCAAGCTGACAACGCGTCCAGGAGGAGGCGACTTGGGGAGTACTGATGTAGAATGTTTTTATAAGACCATAGTTATGGGTTTTGTATTTTGGGTCTCCAGAGTCTCCATCACCATTCAGCTCATCTATATTGAAGTTCCAGGTCGTGACAGCTTCTTTTGGAAGGCTCCTGGGGTGGCTCTACCTCCCGCAGACGCTCGGAAGACGTTTTACCGTCTTTGCCATAAGGGTCACTTCATGACTTGGATCCGATCCTTTCAAGGCATAATGGGATCCTCGGTCTACTCGAACCGGAAAGGCCACCGTGTTCAGTTCCTGTGACCAATTTTTCTTGCAGCAAGAAGTACGTAGGTCATGCAGCTTTTATGGTCTCCTTCAAGCTTCACATCCTGCCGTATACCAAACCCTTGTTGGGGGGCAATTGTGTGCTAATAGGAAGACATATGCTAATATTGCCTCTGAAGCATTTTTGTGCCACCTGATAGCATCAATGAAAACCCTTGTCGTTAGGGACTTCTGATATTTTGCTCGCTGTTGTTTGGAGAAGACGCGCCATCTCTGACAACTGTCTATGTCATATCCCCCAGAGTAATTCCACATTTGGAGCCATGTTGAAACATCATTTCGACAGAAGCATCATGGAACCATGGAACCGACCACCTGCTGAGGAGTCTGCACGCTCTCGCCTGGCAAGGTTTTGGTTCTTCCTGGTGCAAAAAGAGGCAAGTGCTGGCCGCCAGTCTTGCTCCAGGCACGAAGAAGCTGTTGATGCCGCCTTCCCGAGCGGCGACCCCTCGACCCGGTGCGTGCTCCGGATGGCTCGTAGGCTCGACCAATCGAAGCCCCGAAGACCACACCCCGAAGATCGTGCACAACTGAGCGCACTGGTCGTCCTTTTAGCGTAATAGTTGCCATTCGTTCGTTGAACTCGAGCAATCCAGGCATGATTTGGAGTGGCACCTGCTGGGCACATGACAGGGACTCCGAGGGGAGCTTCTTCCGCACCGCACCGCGGTGTTTTCGTTTTTTCCGGTGAAGGTCCTTGGAACCCCCCCTCGTCTCACTGGTTCTGGAGTCGACCAAGTCCAAGGCTCAGTCATAAGGATCACAAAGCGCCACCAAGCCGTCTGCCTGCCGCGATGGTCGTGAGTCTGGGATGGTGAAGAGTTACACTGAGATCGCATGTGTTTACTGGACATTTCTGCTGGTTTCTGGTTCTGGGTTTCAAGTACTGGCAAAAAATACCCTCGATGGTCCTGGTACTCATGCGTTCATGCTGGAAGCTACGTAGTGGACTGTGCAGAAACATGTCAAACAAGTAAGCTCAAAACTCAACCAGGGAAATGGGATAATCAAGGGACATGTAGAACATCTCCAGCTGCATCTTCTCGGCGTCATTTCAACACCCCCAAACCCTGCCACAATCCCATCTTCCATCCTCCCATCCTCCCGCCTCTCCCTGCAACTGTGCCACTTTCCGCCAGGGTGTGGGTGCAAAGGCCAACGCGACCGCGTCTCCACGTGTGACGCGAGGATCGCCAGCAGTGAGGATCGCCAGCATGCCCCCAAGAGAGTGTCCCGTCAGGATGAACTGGTCCCTGGTCAGACGCGGATGGGTCAGTATCTCCACACGTCAAAACCGGTCAGGCTGCGGCTAACATGTCACTGAACATCAAAAGTATCCGGTCTAGTATCCGTTTAAAAGAAGAAACACACACACACACAAAACGAACAAGAAGACAACAAGAGAACAAAACAAAAACAACAACCAACAACCAACAACAACAAACAACCAACAACAACACACAACACACAACACACAACATTCAACACACAACAAACAACAACCAACAACCAACACCACCACCACCACCACCACCACCAACAACAACAACAACACCAACACCAACACCAACACCAACAACAACAACAACAACAACAACAACAACAACAACAACAACAACAACAACAACAACAACAACAACAACAACAACAACAACAACAACAACAACACCAACAACACCAACAACACCAACAACACCAACAACACCA